GCCCGCAGGTCGGCGCCTTCGCAGCCGGTTTCGCCGCCCGCCCGCCGCCGCCCCCGCCCACGCCGCCAGCGCGCTCTACCCGCCGCGACGCGAGCGCGGCACCCACGAGAGCGACGGGCTCCGGGCAGAGAGAATAAACCTCTTTCCTGTATAACCAATTTTCTTCTCCACTCTCCTCCCCACCCCACTCCGCGCCCATCGGCAAACCAGTCGCAGAATAGCATAAAAATTAAAAATTCCGAAATGGATTGCCCTGTTTGTTTTCGCGCGCGCGCGTCGAATGCGACGGCAAGGGCACGACGGCGGAGGCGGCGAGCCCTTCGCACCGCCTTCTAAAGGCGCGGAGTGCGCCCCAGGAGTCGCAGGGCTGTCGGCCGCCGCCCCGCCCCACCCCGCCAGGCCCCAGCATTGTTTCGGATCTCTCCCGGGAGGAGGGGGCGGCGTCGCAGCAGACTGGAAAAGCGCGGAAGGGCAGGCGCTGAACTGCGCCGCCCCGCTTTCGCTCCAATGAGAGATTTTCAAGTTACCCTCTATACACAATAGTTCAAAAGCATACGCGGATCTTCGGGCGGGGCGCCGGCGGCGGGGCGGTGTCGCGACGGGCGGCAGCGGGGTGGCGTAGCGGCGCCACACTGCACGCCCTAGCGCCCGGACCGCCACCGGACGCCCGCGCCCGCCGCTGCGCTTGACCCTCGGTAGTTTGCGTGCGAGCGATAAGCATTTTGCGGCGCGCCGAGAAGGTGCTGAGCCGTGGAAGCCACGCAACAGCGTACGCGTCTGTGCTCCGGGCCAGGGCCTGCTTGTTGGCGCCCGAGGCGCGGCGCGCCGCGCGGGGAGGTGCACGGCTGGGACATCGTGTAGCAGCTGGGGAGGAGGAGGGGAAATCATCGAGCGGGCTATCTGAGCAAAAGAGATGATAGGTGGTGGGGAGGAAAGGAGGATTGACGTTAGCGGTAGTGATGGGTGAGGATGGTAGATTATGGTATGGTATCGGGCTGGTAGATGGCGCGATCAGAGGGTTGTGGGATATTTTAAACCTATCCTAAGTAGAACAAACGTATTGAGTCATTTCCTTGATTCTACTTTGCAGTTCAGCAGTTTAAGATAGCAGAAGTAGAAGCCGAAATTTGTGAAGACTAGGATAATTATTGAACGTTTATGAGGAGATTGGAGAGAGTGGTTGGAAAATTTTAGACTCATGTTCAGTTAGAGACAAATGAAAGTGGTTCCTCTTGAAGTAGCGTTGTGCGCAGAAGTCGGCCGCAACGGCTCGATTCTGCGTCAGCGCTAGCGGCCTGATGAGGCGCCCCCGTTAGCATGCGAGGATTGCAGGGTCCGGGGTGGGTTGGGTGTGGGGTGGGCGGGCGGGCGTCCTTCCGCCCCCGCAGTCGCCAGATGCGTTCAGCGCAGTCGCTTCCTGCCCCGCGCCCTCCGCCGACCCACTCAGCCGCGCGGCCGTTAAGTTTAATTACTGCACAAACAGATCCGCCCAGCCAAGCCCCGGCCGGCGCCGCTTTGCAGATCTCCCGCAAGGGGCATGCTTCGGCGCCGCTTAGCCGGGCCTCTCGGGGGGGGGACAGGGACGACTGCGCAGTGAGAAGAAGTTAATACGAAAGTCAATGAGCAGGAGACCCTTGGGAGCGTGGGTGGGTCGGTGCAGTGTAAGGGGATGCAGTGGGCGGGTGCCCAAGCCGGCAGTTAGTTGGGCGGTGTTGGGAATGGTGGGTTGAATGTGGTTGAGGAGCGACAGGGGGAAGAAGCAATGAGCCAATTGTTTAGGCAAGACAGACGGTGGAGGGCTTGACGGAGCTTTCTAGGAAGGAAAAAGAACGAGACTTTCTTAACTCAGCGGACGGCAAAGGTTGATTTAGGACATTTTCAAAAAACTTGACGACCAACTTTTTGCAAGTGTCTTTGACCGAGGTTTCCTTTCGGTTTTCTTTGGTCCCCCCGACCGAAAATCTTTTTCCTTTTTGCAGGAAGCCCTTCAGGACTTTCTTACTATAATGAATACCGTGGCAGTTTCGGCAGGATGGTCTGACGCAGACTGCGAGCAGCGCGTATCCGCATCCAAGTACAGCCAAGTCCTGACATCACTTTGCTATACAAAAAGAAAGACGTTCATCTGATTGACATTGCCATTCCACACTCCCACAATATTGACAATAGCTATAGGAACAAGATCAGCAAATACAAGGATCTTGCAGATGAAGTTAAGAAAATTTGGATAGTCAAGAAAGTTTACATTAGACCTATCATTATTTTGGCCACAGGAATAATTTCTAAAACTGTGAAGAAATGCTTAGAAATCCTTCAATTAGAAAGATACTCATCACAAATTCAGAAGTCTATGGTACTAGACATTTGTCACATTGTGAGAAAGGGTGATCTGGGCTGTCCGGGTGACGCCGCGACGAAGGACAGCCCAGATCACCCACATGACTCTGGTCGCGGAAGCCTACGACTTCACATTGTGAGAAAGTTCTTGAAAGACGAGCTTGACTGAATTCAAGTCAATTACAGTTTAACCAATCGTGCAGGACCAATGACTGCGTGAGAGAATAGTGATAGTAACACGATAGTAGATGGTTTATATGAATGTGTTACCTCTATTATTTATTTCAAGTCAATTTGATTTATATTCTTACATGTAAATTTGATATCATTTGTGTTGTGATGAATCAAAATAATGTGTCAACTGTAGTGGGTCTTGAATCTGAATTTCGATGTATTATGTAAAGTCCAACATTGTTGAGAAAGTTAATAATTAATAGTAATAATAATAATAATTATTTATTATTATTATTATTATTATTATTATTATTATTATTATAACTGCGTAGAAAATACTCCTATTTTTTTCAAATTCTCTGAATCATGAAAAATATTGTGCGCTTATCCGTGACTTATTCCATGTTCCGTCACTTCTGTTATATTGAAAACATCAAAATTTCGGTAGATAGCCTCCGCACTTGATCGCTGCTCCTTTCCTTATTCACAGTGTTCTCAGCAGCTAAAGACACCACCCACTTTCGATATTCTTGATTTAAAATTTCCAAACACGTAATTTGTCGGTATATTACTTGTTTGTTTTCGGGGGCTTTTCCAGCTTCAGGAAATATCGACTATCCGGATGCCCACTATGTTCCTCATAAGGACACATGTTAACCTTTACAATAGAAACTGAAACGTGTGGACTCTTTGGTCTGTGGTCAGCAGGCTCACAAGACCTTCCGTGGCAACACTCATATATTTAAGACAAGGAACAAATAACCATGCCCACGGTGGGGCTCGAACCCGCGACCCTTTCTACCGAAGCGCAGAGTCAGCACACGCTGTCCAGGTTGGCGTGTAGGTGTATTCCCGTAAACAATAATTGAATATTAAATCAATTTACGAACAGTTCAACTCCACTCTAACAAAAAGTAAACCCCTGGCAAAACTCCGTGTGATGGTAGTCTGTAAAGAAGCTGTGAGCTACGTGTTTCTTACTGAGTGCACTGCTCCTGTCCATATTGTACAGTAGAAAACTTCTCTTGCACACTTGAAATCTTTTATACTTATAAAGAAACATGAATGCTTCCACACCTTGGACACATCCGCTTCTCTGTTGAGACCCTTGCCTGACACTCAATATACAGTTCAACGTCGCTCACAACGACACTCGTATACATTTCATTATACATTCGTACATTTAAGGGCTGTTAAAATCTCGTTGTTGAAATAATGCTGGGGTTATGAGAAATTTGGACGCAAAAAAAGGTTGATTAGTAGCCGTGCGTTCGTGCCTTTCGTTTGTTTTTCCTTGTAAGTTTTGAGAATAAGTAGTAGTCAAAGTGCATTCAAGGGTACTTAATTGGCAGGGCAAGGATATTTCTACCAACAGTGTTGTATCGCAAATTAGAAGATTGAAGTGTATCTACATATTAGTGTTCAGTGTGCGGATTTCATGAAGTAAGCAGCAATTTAGTATGGATCGTATAATCCTAAAATTTCATTTCAAAGTTCTTGCTGGCGTGTTTCATCGAATGTCAGCTCTAGTAATTACCAAACGCAAACCACGTTTAGTGGCAAACAAACACCTTTTGTACAGTCATTAATGAATTGGTAGAAAAAAAATTAGAATAATTGACCTTGATTCTATCAAGAAACCAAGATACATTTGAGTTATTATGACTAGTATGTTAATTGAATGACTAGTATGTTAATTGAATACATGCAATAAGTTACTACAGGTTTTCAAAAAGATGTTTTGAAATTTTTCAAACTGAAGTATTTTACTTTACTTTAGCACATTACCAATTAAATTCCTTGCAATATGCAAATAAAATATGGAAATGTTTTCTATTGCTTATAAAGTTAAATTCTTCATTAAGAATTATATTATTGTACAGCATTATTTAAATTTTAAAATTTTATCTACATTGATGTTATTAACAGGTTACACTCAAAACCACATTTTTAAAACTTTGCAGTATGTCTTTATTTCGTCAACAATGCTACCTCCTATACAACCTGTAGGTATCTATATATATATATATATATATATATATATATATATATATATATATATATAATATAATATATATAGGTTGACAATACAACCTGTGGTAGTAAACTTCAACAAGGGTTGTAATAATTTAAAGTAACAAGGTTGATTTGATGCATATTTGAATTTTATGAAAGGGATCTTTTACACTTATTAACAACAGCCCTGGATATGTTTCATATATTAATCAACAGCTAGGTGGTTAATGTGTTTATTGCAACAAATGGCTTTCATGTTTTATTGATTTGTCGTAAGCATCAAGCATTGAAAATATTTTATAGTTTAAGTTTATTGTCAATGTTTGTGACACTATTGAAAATTGTGTCAATGTAAGTCGGTTAACTTAATTCTAAGTAGTAGAATTCAGTTAATTGAGACGATATATGTTTGATACTCTTTTCTCCTGTATTCTCGGATAAGAAAAATATAAGAACGGCCGTTTATTTAGCTCATAATATCACCTGAGTGAGTGTGTTTTTCGGAATTAGTGCACCGTTGTTAATATATTAATAATAATTTCGATAGAAGGGTGAACTATTATTTTTCGTCAGAAGTACACAAAGCATAAATAAAGCCACTTCCCTGTTTATGTTCTAAACTGAGATGTTTTCATATTTTGATAGGAGTATCGGGTATTGTTTATTGCCTGAAGTACATAAATGCCTGTATAAGAAATCTCCCTTCGTGAGACATGTCAACACATTGAAATTGAATCAAATTATGGGAGTACACTACATATTCATAATGATTTAGCATGAGGGAAATTTCTATTTATATTGTTTACTAGTTTGTTGATAGTCTGTTAGTAAAATTCTGTCGATTTTCAGTAACTTTTAAGAAAATCAGTTGAATTATTTAAAAAATTATCAGTAAATAGTATTTTACATAATTTTATAGAAATAATGTAAATATGTATTGTATTTCAAGAACAACGTTTCGCGGAGTACACAAATTTATGAGTACAATATATTGTGTCAAGCTCTTGTGCACATTCCGTAAATTGGAGATATGACTCTTTGAGCACTTCGTGTACATTTGTGCGTTCATCTCGCGTTCATCTCGTGCATCAATTTAAGCTAAGTTTATGCTAATTTATGCTAAGTTTTTGTTGGTCAGATCTTTTCGTGCTCACAGCCTTTTTGTGCAGTGCTGTGTGATCGGGCACTATGAGTCACACACAGTACTGCTGTCGGCTTCGATTGAGAGACGAATCTGATCGAGGTGAACCGATGAAGACTCGACCGTCCGGTGTAGTCCAGCTCGAATCTAAAATGACGATTTCTACGTAAATCAAGGCTCAATTCTTGCAAGAAGTGGGTCGGTATTCCATTTGAGGGTCCAGCTTATTCAACAGCCAACAGTCCACCTGCTAAAACGCAACTTATCCGTCCACCAGAGAAGTGGCCAGGCGTATCGTTGTGTGTTTCGCGACC